AATCAAATTTCAGGGTAAAATGGTCATTTTTCATCAGTCAGCACATTCAGTCAGATGTACAATCAAACAACATGGTTTCTTACTCAGTCATAATTTCTTTCCCAAACAGACATTTCCCAATCAGCACTTTCTCAGTCAGCAACTATCAAACGGGACCTAAAAGAGTGTTGTAAGGCTGTAGGGAGTCGTAGCATTCACTAGTCAGTATGTGACGTAGAAGGGCTCTTAGGCTGGTTAGCCTTGCCATTTTAGTCGTTGGGAGTCAGGTGACCGGACCAGGTGCGAGACTGGGGTCTCAGCGATGGTCGGGAACTATTATATCCCGATTTAGGGAGGTGTTGTCACAAGTCAAGATGATTGGAGTGTAATGCATGCGTAGAGACGCGAACCTCGGGGTAATGAGTTGAGTATCAGATAGGATATGAGTGGGTTCAATTTTGCTGTCAGAACAGACTCTTGTGTTTGAGTTCTGCTCTATCTGCGTAAAGGATGAGCAGGTTGGGGTTTCGGAGTTTCAAATGGATTTCATTTTGAGTAGTTATGGTTTCCATCTGGTGTGTTAGACCTGTTTGGGTCGGTTTGTATGGCTTGGGGAGGACCACAACACGCATGGAATTAGTAAGTCATAGACGACAGAGGTCGGAGGTGATGTGTGACTGCAGATCGGTTGTAATATTGTCTGGGTTAGGAGAACTTAGTGATTGCGTATACCATGTGATTGGTTGAGGTAGCTCTGTTGGATTGAACGGCTGCGGAGTCTTGTTGCTTAATGTGCTAAGGGTAGCCACAGGCGGTTTAACTTTTGGGTCGGGAGTCGACCATGCATTCGGATTTGGAATAAACATGGGAAGGTAGATGCGGCTTATGCTTGTAGATATCAGTGAATAGTTCCGGTCGGTCATGGTCATTCAACTCGGGGTCGGAGCTGAATCATCCTGGGCTTGGTAGCAGAGTGGTTCTGTCCGACGAGGGGTCGTACCTAGTGTAAAATTTCGGTTTCCATGCGGATCGGCAGGTCATTCTTTTAGCGTATAAGGGCAGAGTATTGAGGTTCATTCTTCAGATGGGTTCTGATAGCAGTGTCAGTGGTTGGTCTTCGGTGCGAGGTGACCCCTTCGTTTCTTTTGGGTTTTGGGTCAAGTCGACTGGTATGACGGGCATGAGTGTTCAGCAGTTGGTTATTGCCAACGACTCGTTTCCATCAGTCGCATCGAGTTAATCATAGTTGGAAATGCTTTGTAAAGACGGCTATTCGATGAGCGATTGGCATGATGACATTTTGCATGGGCGGTCTGCTGGGGGAACAGACCGATATAGATTCCAGGTTTTGGGGAGGTAGTAGTGGTTCTTGCAACGACGAAGGGTTCGATATTCTTCGGACTGAAAGGTTCTAATTGATTTCGGTCAACTTGGGGAAAGTCGTTTTATGTTCTGATTTTCGGATGCACTTCTCGGGGTGTTTGATTTGATCTGAGTCTTGATAAGGAGCACCGAGATAGTGCTCAAGACGACAGAGCATATCCAACAGGTCAGAAAGAGGTTGCTTATGAATCAGATTCGTCAAAAGAGTTACGCAGATCGGAGACGTTCCGAGCTAGAGTTCCAGGTCTGCGATTTTGTCGTCCTGAAGGTATCTCCACGGAAAGGGGTGATACTATTCAGGAAGCAGGGCAAGCTGGGCCTAGATACATTGGTCCTTTCAGAGTGATAGCTCGAGTATGTAAGGTAGCTTATCGGTTAAAGCTGTCTGCAGAGTTGAGCCAGATTCATTACACCTTCCATGTATCCCAGCTGAGGAAGTGTGTAGCCGACGAGACGGCAGTGGTCCCTTTGGAGGACATTCAGGTTGATAATCGCCTGAACTACATTGAGAAGCCGGTGGCGATTTTGGATAAGAAGGTGAAGATCTTGAGAAATAAAGAGGTGCCCTTGGTTAAGGTTCAGTGGCATCATCGGAGGGGATCCGAGTGGACTTGGGAGCCGGATTCTGAGATGCGCGAGCAATACCCAGAGATGTTTGCAGAGAATGACTTCGAGGGCGAAGTCTAATCCTAGTGAGGGGAATTGTAACATCCTGATTCGCATGTATGGAATTTCGGGGTTTTATGCTTATTGTAGGACGTACTCGACGAGTTGGGGACTCCCAACTCGTCGTATAAAAACCAAGGAGGCTGTGCAATTTTACAAATTTACTCGACGAGTTGGAGCTGAGTGTGAGAACCCTAATTTTTAGGGTTTGCATCCTATTTAAAGGACCTTAAGTCCTTTACCCCGCCTCCCTCATCACCTTATCACCTAGAGACAAACCCTAATCGAGTTACCTTCCATATTGAGAGTGTGTTAAGGCTAAGAGTGTGTGTTTTGGGTGCATTCCTTGAAGAGTGAAGAGCATCCATTTGAAGGTAAAAATCCATTACCTTGATCACTTGTTTATTAGATCTCTCCATTAGAGAGTTTATGGCCATTTCTAGATTCTTCTTGTGTCATTATTGGTTTTGAGCATGCTTTGAAGCTAAGACTTTAGATCTTGACACTATTAGGCCCTTTAGGCCTTAAGACTCAAGCTTTATCAAGCTTTGGCCAATCTTCATGCCTTAGCCCCTTGTTGAGCCTTGTTTTGGCAAAGTTAGCCCCTATGACATGGTCGTAAAGCTTGCCGCTTTACGTGGTATCTCAGCCCTGGAAGACTAGATCTAGAGTTTGGGGCCTTAGTCTCGCTTAAAAGCGTCTGAATGAGAGAAGGAGCTGAAGGAACTCGATGAGTTGGTTAGGGTTTTCCCCGATATTTTGGACACTATGCAAAATCAATGAGTTGGTGAGACAACTCGGCGATTTGACTCGAATTTTCCCGATTTTCTGAGAACAGAAGGAACTCGACGAGTAGCATAGATGCACTCGAAGAGTTGAGTCAACATGGGATGTTGACTTGAGTGTTGACTTTCGTTGCTTTTTAGGGTTGGTCAAATTGTCGACTTTGGAGACCATGGGAGGGGCGGGGGGGGGGGGGGGGGGGGGGTAATATGGTCTTTCACCCTTTCTGAGAATTAGTAGAGGAGTTAGCTTAACATCTTTGGGAGTTGTTAATGCAAATTGTTAATTAGAGATGATTGTGATATATGTAGGCGGAGTCTAGACCGACAGTTTGAGTACGAGACATACTTGCTTTACTTACGAGGTGAGTCTTATCACTATACTTACCTGAGTGGTAATTACTGTGCGACCGGAGGATCTTATCTGTGTTAATGACTGGAAGGTCTTATATGCTTATACCGAGATATGTGATATTATGCATTCTGTCTTTGTGATTTATGGTGTATATTATTCTATGCATTCATTGATATAGGACCAGAGGCTCCAAACCGAGTTGTGAGACCGGAGGGTCCTTACTGAGATACAGGACTAGATGGTCCAACCCGAGCCGTGAGACCGGAGGGTCTTCACTGAGACACATGACCGGAGGGTCCTTATCGAGATATATCCATGAGAGACTAATTATTGTGTGTGGTATTTTGGGGAACTCACTAAGCTGTGTATTACAGTGTGGTGTGAAATGTGTTTCAGGTACATCCTAGGATCGCGGGAAGGCGTCGGCATGATTGTACACACCAGCTCGTTGATTTATGTTTTGAGGATTCTGGCATATGTGACAAACATTTTTATGTTTGTGTTTTGAAACATTTATAAATTGAGTATGAGAGATGTTAAACTGTGTTTTTTGTGGAATCAAAAATGAAAATTTTATTTGAAAATTTAGAATGTTACGGTCGTTTTTCTTGATTTGTGTAACTATTCCAACATTCACTTTGTATAGATTGTAACATTAAACTTAAAAGCTAAAAAAACTTTTTCATGGATTCGATTCAATAAACTCATTTCTAATAATAGAGATAATTTGCATATGTAGCGCTTGAGATACGTTTTCCAAAACTTTAACCAACATAAGCCGGAGAAAAATATCCACTTCAAAATGTATCTCCAAAACGATCCATTTCGACAAAGTATGTCTCAAATATAGTTTATGAAAAACTGGCCTATAATGTCATAATACATTAATACGGACCATTTTACCTAGACCTGACAAACATGTTGTATTGGGTTAGTGTCTTGTCAAGACATTAAACGGGTTGATAGGGTTTAACCCTAACCCGACCCATTTAATTATCGTGTAACGCCGTGTCGAGTTTCGAGTTAAGGTTTAGACTCTGTAAGGTTTAGGCCTATAATGTCATAATACATTAATACAGACCATTTTACCTAGACCTGACAAACATGTTGTATTGGGTTAGTGTCTTGTCAAGACATTAAACGGGTTGATAGGGTTTAACCCTAACCCGACCCATTTAATTATCATGTAACGCCGTGTCGAGTTTTGAGTTAAGGTTTAGACCCTGTAAATCTGTTGTGTTGTATCATGTCAGGTTGAAACATTTTAAAAGTTTTAAAGTAGGAAACGAGGAGATGAAAAGGAAAAAATGAAACACTGGAGTTAGGAGATGAAATGACAAATTTCATAGTAAGTTTAGAAGACAAATTAGAAATAGTTAGAGTTTGAGAGCAAAAAGGATAGGTGGTGAACATGAGTAAAATTAAGTTACTTTCAAAGTTTGACTTTTAATTTTAATCACCCACTATAAATTCATAATATATAATATATTTATGAAAAGATGAAATTTATAAAAATTGATATATAATTAAATGAGTCATCTTTGAGTTGAATGTTTTAATCTTAACCATACCCGTTTAATTATCGTGTGGTGTCGTGTTAACCCGTTTACTTAAACGTATCGAAATCTCTTATTCAAACCCGCTAATTTCGTGTCGGGTTGTCGAGTTTTGTCACGTTTTGCCATGTCTAATTTTACCTCCTATCTTATCAAAAACTTGGCATTCCGATATATATTTTCTTTATACGAATCATTTTGCCAAATGCCCAAAAAAATAAGTCAATTTCTTATATAAAAAACGTTAGGTCTTTTTATGAATATCTATTAGAATACATGTTTCAAAATAAAATATTCCCGACGTATTTATAAGTCAATTAGACACGAAGGCGGGTGAAGTTATTTAATATAAAAGAAAAATTAAGTAGAAAATCCCAGTTTTGCTTCCACTAGTTTCTAACCTGGTAAACTTTTTTTAAACTCTTCTTCAGATTTAGTGTTTTTGATCTCAGAAAGAAAATGGTGAAGGATCGGAAGGTAGGTGTGGCGATGGATTTCTCCAAGAGCAGCAAGGCTGCTTTGCAATGGGCAATCGATAACTTAGCTGACAAAGGTGATACGTTCTACATCATCCATATCAAATCTCCTTCCGGTGATGAGTCCCGTAACAAACTCTGGACCACATCTGGCTCTCGTAAGATCCGATCCATCATTTGCTCATTCTATTATTTCTATTTTGTTTGTAAACGGCGGATTGATTTACTTTTCTGTGGGAGATCACTGATTAGCCTTGATTCCGTTGGTGGAGTTCCGTGAGCCGGAAGTGATGGCCAAGTACGACGTGAAGACGGATATTGATGTTCTTGACATGCTTGACACCGGAGCTAGACAAAAAGAGGTTTTCACTTCGCTTCATCTTCGATCCTCATTCAAACATTTCGTTTTTCTCGATTCAAACTTTTGATCTAGATTTATAGATTTCTAGCTCAATATAACTTTAATATGAAAGTTATTTTTATCAGATCCAAACCGGATGCCAAATCCGATGAACTTCATAGTTCACCAAATTCGTTTGACTGTTGGTAGCGGATTTAAACTCAGGCTTTAAATCGTTTGTATCAAACTTCAACGGTTCAAGCATCTGTTTGAAACTTTCACTGTCTAATGTTCCATAATAAATGTTTATCCTTTAGGCTTTAGTTTATATTTCTTAATCGGAAGCTAAGTATTTACTTCGAATTATAATCAAACTAATATGATCCGAGTTAGAAGTTGTTTAACAAGTAATTGATAAGAACAAAATCATGAAATTTATGACATTAATTTGGCCGGGTTGATCAAATTCCTTGACTAAATTATTTGTAATATGTTCGCGAGTAGATTCATGTCGTGACCAAATTGTATTGGGGAGATGCAAGGGAGAAGCTAATTGAAGGGATTGAAGATCTAAAGCTGGATACATTGGTCATGGGAAGCAGAGGACTCACAGCTCTTCAGAGGTACCTTCTTATTTCTTGTCTTATTCTTTAATGCATCTACATATATTTGAAAAGAAAAAAACTGGTATATATTTCCGCTTTCGTATTTTTTTGTTTTATATTTTATAACAATGTATTGTAAGCCAATATATTTTTTGAAAAAAAAAATAATATATTGAAAATAATTAATTTAAATACCTTATTTATACAACCTTTGAATGAGAATATATCCACAATAATGATGGTCAAACATCGATATTAATCCTTTCTAGATATCTACAACGCCATGTTTAAAGATATATATTTTTATTCAATAAATATATCATTTTTCTAATATTTAAATGATAAAAGTTCGAGGATATAATTAAAAAGTTAAAAACAACAGAGAGCATAATTCGGCGTATTTATAGATATAATATTGTAAGTGGATATCCATTTAACCTGGTAGAAATAAATAATAATGTAATTCGGCGTATTATTAGGCGGAATTCCCACATCTATAAACACTTCACTATATTCAACTAATACAATTACATCAAATTTATAGACTATTATGAAATATAATATCTGTGCCGTGTACGATTGTTGTATTGCAGGATAATATTGGGAAGCGTGACAAACTATTTGATCACTAATGCACCTTGTCCCGTCACCATTGTCAAAGACAAGCACTAATCTTGTTGATTAATACTATCAATAACTCATACATGGAGTATTAGTACCCCATGTCCATGCTTCCTTTAATCTTCAATCATTTTCTTTTTAATTTTAATCTCTACGTTATGTAGTGTGGCATGTAAAACCAAAACATAATATATATCATTATTCAACTTGTTTTTAAAGATTATAATCGAGTTACAACTTACAAGCCCAGTAGACAGAAAGATATATGTGTGAAATTAATACATTGTGTATGTATATGCCTTAAAAACAAGCAACGTTGAATACTTTTGAGGATATGTGATGGTGATTATTAGTGATGTATGGATTTCTGTTGGGATTCAACAAAAAAATTAAACATCTTCAGACAGACAAACGATAAAAGGTTTTGGTCAAAACATGGAATAAAATTCTTAAAAACAGTAATCGAAAAAAAAAATGTAAAACTGAGCATAGTATTTAATGTGGTTTCGTCGATGTGACTTATGTCCACGAGCGAACGAGTGAGAAAATTTTATTAAACTTTCAAAACAGTTTCTATCACTCACCAAAGGGTGCACCACACTTAACTCTCAAACAAAAAAAAGGATCTCTCTCGCTGACAAACCACTCCAAAAAATATGTTTCTACCTCAAAATGATTGCTCTCTTGAAATCTATGTATATTAACACACACTATACACTCGCACATATTGATCTACACTATACACTCACACATGTTGATAAAGATGGGAGTGCTTGTTTATCCGCAAGCATAGTGATACCCTAATTCTGATGGGTCAAGTATATACGTAATTTAACCATAAATGGAATCAACCAATCACAAAACGTCATACATTTGTTTCAATAATGTTCAACCTTGAGGGTTGTGCATGGTCACCTGCCATGCATATTGGAGTGCATTTACCATGCATGGGGCACATTCTTCCTGCATGGAACACTTTATTCCTCTTGCCAGCATTTTCTATTCGTAGCAATGCTTTCAGATGTCTGTCAGTGCTTTCTGATTCCTAACAACGATTTCTATTGCTTGGCAGCGCTTTTGACATTCAAATGAGAACAATTATAAAGTTGAGAATACGAGAAAAAATCTGAGCCACTTAATTTTTGTTAATTAAAATAATAAAATAAGAATCATATAAATCAAAGAACAATTTATGTCACACCCCGAAACCAGAATGGCGGAATCGTTCCGGGGTGGAGGATGTCATGTTTAGCATCACAACCAATGAAGAATAGGAAACATAGCAACACAACCAATACAGTGGATACATATATAGGTAAAATGTTTACATCAGTTTGAAAACTTGTTTTAGGTACATCAAAAGTATGTAAAAATATAAAAACAAGACTCTTATTGCTCCGACTTCTCTAAATCCAAGGAGTACCTGTTTACTGATTTCCTGAAAATACAAGCAGTTTGAAAGAATATCAGCAAAAAGTTGGTGAGTTCATAAGCGTTTAGTTTTGGTGGAAGAGGTTCTTTGATTCTTTTGAAAAGTGTTCCTCAAGAAAATCCCATATTTTCTTATGAAAAGTAGTGTTGAAAGAGTATCTATTAGTAGAAGATAAATCATCAGTTTTAGAAATGCCAGTGTTATCCTGGGAAAATATCATATTTTCCCTAAAAACAAGTTATCCGTCCTAGAGGAAGAGATGTAAGTTTAGAAATCCCTGATTATTATCAGTGTATATATGAAGGTAGTTTTATTACTAAAAATAAAACAAATGAAGAGTAGAGTCTGTAAACCAAGGTTAGTTTATACTTATTTGCGAGTCGTATAACCTTACTTGATATGACCTAGAGACCTTATAACGTTCTTCAGACATTAAGCTAAATGACATTTGTTCACCCCAGGCGTGCCCGCCTAACTGTAGCTAGCAGTTCAGGTGTGGGATTGTCAGTCCCGAATAGATCTATTCACAAATCTCACGCTCTCCCTTTAGGAGACTCTGGTTATACTAAAAGGATTTATCACTGTACACCTAAGAGTACAGTATTGAAGTAGAGCCTCACAATTCTGTATAATCTAGTTTACGTGCTAATAACAGTATAAAACAATAATCATCCTTAAATAATTGTATTTTATACTCCTTAGAAAATACATAACATAAACTAAATCTGTCATAGTTTACATATATTCATTTATGAATTCTGAATTGGTAAGAGCTGCCTAGAGGGTTATCCCAAACTATACCCGTTATAGTTTATTAGAATTGATATGGAAATGTTTTGTAAAAACCTTTCTGAAAACTATGAAGTTAGATTTCCAAAAATAAAGTTTCCCTTATGTTTGACATAATACAAAAGGGATAAAATATAGGAATATTTTATTAGACATGGAAATCGTTGAATTGTATTAATAAGTTTAAAACTTAATAAAATACTTTGAGTTTGGCTTGTATTCCCCCCCCCCCCCTGAAAACATTAAAAACACGGAAAATGTAGGGGTATGAACTCACTGTAGTTGTGCGAAAACGTCCACTGGAAACGAAGATCCTCGGGTTGTTGTACGTGGCACTTAACGGAATCCTAATATCAATAAATACGTATATGTATCTAAATTAGCGATTTCGTTAGATAAAGTGTTAGAAAAACACTTGCTTTCGGTTAAGGAATGTTACCGGAACCTGTTTGAATCGAGAAAACGAGCTTTCACCACTTTGGAAGAGTTTGCGGCCGTGAAGAGTTTACGGCCGTAAACTGGGTTTACGGTCTTTGAAGATGGGCCGTAAACTCAAGAACAAGGGTGCTGATTTCGAAGAGAAATGTGTTCCAGATGCCCCGAAATAACTCTAAACGGTGTTTCTCGGTGTTTTCTCGAAGATTGAAGGCCTTCTAGGTGTTTACGGTCAAGAGTTTTAGAGAGAGAAAGAGAGAGTTTCCGGTCAAAGGTGTTCAAATGAGGGTGGGGGTCTCATATTTATAGGGTTTTGTGGTCGGTGGGTGGGGTCCACCCGATGCTGGCCGCAAACGAGTTTACGGCCGTGAACTCCAGTCAGGCCGTGAACATGATGTTTTTCGAGGATAATTCGAGTTTCGCGCGGTTTTGGTTCTGACTTGCATAAGTTTAATTATATAATACCAGATGATTTTTCTAAATCAAAGGTTCGACGGAAGATTAATAAAATTCAAATTTTATTAACGGAAATTGCATAATGGAAACGGAAAAAGTTTCGGGTTGTCACATCATCCCCCCCGTTAGAGGGAATTTCGTCCCGAAATTTAAGAATAGAGATACAAATTATGGATTTGGAAAAAGATGAGGGTACTTCTGTTTCATTGAATCCCCACGCTCCCAAGTGAATTCAGGTCCCCTCTTGGCATTCCAGCGAACCTTCACTATCGGGATGCGACTTTGTTTCGTTCGTTTGACTTCCCGGTCCATGATTTCCACGGGTTCTTCCACGAAGTGTAGACTTTCTTCTAGTTCTATCTCATCGAGGGGAATGAGAAGTGTCTCATCGGACAAACACTTCTTTAGGTTCGAGACATGAAAGACAGGATGTACGTTGCTAAGTTCTCGAGGTAACTGGAGTTTGTATGCTACAGGACAGATCCTAGCGAGGATTTCGAATGGTCCGATGTATCTTGTATTCAGCTTTCCACGCTTTCTGAAGCGTATCATGCCTTTCCAGGGTGAGAGCTTCAAAAGAACACGGTTACCAACCTAGAATTCCAAGGGTTTTCGTCTCTTATCAGCGTAGCTCTTTTGTCTATCTCTTGAAGCTTTTAATCGTTCCCGGATTTGTATGATCCTTTCGGTCGTCTCTCGGATGATTTCAGGACCCGTGAGAGTGCTGTTGGGGGTTTGACCCTTGACTAGCTGCGTGTCACCCACTTCAGCCCAGCACAGAGGGGATCTGCACTTACGGTCATAGAGGGCTTCGAACGGCGCAGCCTTGATGTTGGTATGATAGTTGTTGTTGTAGGAAAATTCGACCAAGGGTAAATGAATGTCCCATGACATGCCGAAATCTATGACGCAGGCTCTCAACATATCTTCCAATGTTTGAATTGGTCTCTCACTCTGGCCGTCTGTCTGCGGATGATAAGTCGTGCTCATATCCAGCTTAGTTCCAAGAGCCTTCTGTAGCGATTGCCAAAATCTCGAGGTGAACCTGCTATCTCGGTCGGAGATAATGGATACAGGTACCCCATGAAGGCGAACTATTTCTCGAATGTAGATCCGCGTGAGTCTCTCCATCTTGAAATTGTCTTTAATTGGCAGGAAGTGGGCGGATTTAGTCAACCGATCGACAATTACCCAGATGGCGTCGTGCCCACTCGGAGATCTGGGTAACTTGGTGATAAAATCCATGGTGATCATTTCCCACTTCCACTCAGGTATTTTTGGCTGCTGAAGCAAACCTGAGGGCCTTTGATATTCTACTTTTACCTTGGCACAAGTCAGACACTTACCCACGAAGGTAGCAATTTCTGCTTTCATGTTCGGCCACCAATAGAGTTGTTTGAGATCCAGATACATTTTATCTGAACCTGGGTGAACGGAGTATCTCGTCTTGTGAGCTTCGTTCATGACAACTTCTCTGTAACCACCATACTTCGGGGTCCAGATATGGTCCATGAAATAGTAAACTCCATCTCCCTTGACCTCTAAGTTCTTTTCCATTCCTCTCAAGGCTTCATCCGACGTGTTCTCTGGTTTTAAGGCTTCCAGCTGAGCCTCTCAGATTTGTGTGGGTAATCGGGAATGGATGGTCATAGTCAATGCCTTCACTCTACGACCTGAATACTCCTTGCGGCTGAGGGCATCTGCTACCACATTGGCCTTGCCGGGATGGTAGTGAATTTCGCACTCGTAGTCACTGAGTAGCTCTACCCATCGCTGATGTCTCATGTTTAACTCCTTCTAATCAAAGATATGTTGCAAGCTCTTATGGTCGGTGAAAATGGTGCACTTGGTTCCGTAGAGGTAGTGTCTCCAGATCTTTAACGCGAAGACCACTGCTCCCAATTCTGGATCGTGAGTTGTGTAATTGACTTCGTGTGTTTTCAACTGCCTCGAAGCATAGGCGATAACATTTTCTCATTGCATGAGCACACAGCCTAGGCCCTGATTGGATGCGTCACAGTAGACAACGAAGTCTTCCGTCCCTTCGGGCAGGGACAAGATAGGTGCGCTGCATAGGGCCTGCTTCAATGTTTCAAACGCAGTGTCTTGTTTTTCTCCCCAACTAAAGGTTACACTTT